TACATGTACAGTATATATATGCTCAGAACACCTCTAAAGGGAGTCATCCTAACCAGATGAACCACCTCAACTGACTCCTTTTGATGTGGAGGAGCAGCGGCTCTACTCTGAGCTCCCCCCGGATAACGGAGCTCCTCCCCCTCTCTCTAAAGCTGAACCCGGCCCACCCTACAAAGGAAGCTCATTTTTGCCGCTTGTGTCCGGGATCTCGTTCTTTTTTCATGCTCCACGCCTCATGACCACAGGTGAGGGATAGAACAAGGACAAACCAGTAAAACCAGAGCTTTGCCTTTCGCATTAACTTTTTTTTTTGAAAATCCAAAAAAATACCTAAAGGAAGCGGAAAAACTTTTTTACATAATGTAGAAAGTTGTTTTTCAAATTTTAATGTTTCCATCAACCTAATGCGATAATTCAAAATGTGCATAAAAACGATGGAAACACGGCTGGTGACTACATCCCAGTGTTTATACGATGTGGAAGTAAATCATCATAATCCCTCCCACAGCACTCCCAGTGTTGCACACGTCACACGTAGCGAAGCAAATAAACAACGCAGGATATAAAGGTTTTACTTTCACTCGATGATGTTTCGGATGCTTGAAGAGGGGCTCGAGCTGCTGGATGAGGGGTCCGCGGAAACTTGGTGATGGAAAGAAGACATGAACGCCAGCGGCACGTTCCACTTTGTGAATTTCACAACCGGCTTCTGGGAGCGGACCACTTTCAGCAAAAACAAACACGCCGGTGAAGTTCAGTCACACTCTGCAAACAGCGCCGGTTTGCAGGACACCATTCTGACTGGGGTCAGTCTACCAGACAGGGAGCCAGTGGGGGATAAGAGACCGAAGTTAGGCTATTTTCTTCAAGTCTGAGCCAGACGTGAGAATGGAAGCATAAATCAGCCCTCAGTTTGTGAGAACTTCCTGCTCTTGGTAGATTTAGACGTGTCCTGTATTCTTTCCATTTCCTGATAATGGATCTAACAGAAGTCCTGGGGATGTTTAAGGCTTTGAAATTTTTAAAAATCCTTTTTCTTCCATCCCTGGACTTCATATTTTCCTCTTAGTTGAATCAGAACCGTCTCTTTAAAGGGGTGAACATTAATGCAGTGACTTATTTTACTTCATATCTTTTTATTTATTCGATTGTACCCTGTTTCACTTTGACATTTTTGTTGTCGATTTATATTGACCATTTATGACAGCAATAAAAACATGAAACATTTGAGGGGTTGAATACTTTTTATAGGCACCATATTGCTTTTAGAAAGTCTTTTTGTGTCTGAGAAGCTTGACTCGGTGCCACCCTGAGACTGAATGTTGATAACATTTAATACGTTGACATCATCGATTCGTCTCTGCTCCATCGCTCTGATCTCTGCTGCTGAAGCTGCTTTTATGCAACAACCTCGTCTGAAACCGCAGTCCATCCACCAAGAGACTCATGTAGATCTGTCTGTGCGTTACACTGATTGATGCACATAAAAAAACAACCACAACAGAAGAGTTGTCATAAATCACGTCTTTGTTTTTCCAGCTCTGCATATTTCACATCATTCCGGTGCTTCAGCTAAACGTTGCCCAACTCCGTTCCATAAAAACGTCTCGGAGAGAAACGGCATTTCAACAGAGCCGCAGTTTGATGTGAAATGAAATGAATTCATCACGCTGCTCCTCTGCAGTCAGTGCAACTTGTCTGTCGTGTGATTACACGAAAAAAGATGATGCGGATGCTTCTCACAGGAACATTTGAAAACGTTTATGATTTGTTCATTATACCGTGTCACACCAGAAATACGGCCATGTCCTCGCCCTGCCGTTGACCTGACAGGTCTGCGTGTATTATACTGCATGTACCGGGATTAAAGAGAAGGAAGGTAAAAGATGGTGCATAGATTTAAGGCTGCATGACACTGATTAAAGGGCCTGTGACGTGTTTATCCTTCAAATACAAAAACTCAAAGAAAACATATTTATATTTAAGAAAATCAGCATAATACACATGATTTTACCCATTTTGTCTTATAACTGGCATAATTTCTCTTGAGTTTGGCTCAGCAAAGTGAAACAGGAAGTGACATCAAAGGGGAACTCTTTAAGAAAAGAAACTAGTCTGTTTATTGAAACAATCTTATTTAAACTCTTCTTCAGCTCTGATAGTGACTCAAAATAATCTAAAGAAACATCTGGTTCTTCTCTAATTTTTGTAGCATCGCTTTGTTTACATGCAGACATTCCCCTTTGACATCACTTCCTGTTTCTTCACGTGCAAATATCTCAACAACTGTTCGTCTCAATTGCGTGAAATTTGTTTTGCAATATGTTATCAGTAACTGCGTTTCCATTGACCATGAAAATGCGCAAATTAGAATTTCGAAAATAAATTTGCTCAATGGAAACACGTCAATTTCGAAAAAAGAAACAATTTTTGCGCTAGGATGAGGTGGTATTTCGGCCGTATCGAAATTGGTGTTTTTAGCAAAACTGCAATGGAAACACTTTTTTTTCGCATCACGGGAGTCACGTGATCAACACCCGGCTGTTTCTACTGGTGAAAAAGACGACAACAGGAAGTAAAAGGAGTAGTAATACAGAAGTAGTAAAATAAAGTAGTAAACTCAACGACTACAATTTGCCAAAAACACAGCATACGTAGCCGCTCCCAAGTAGGGACTTGTCTCTGGAAAGCCTCGATAAAAGACGCCGACGTCTCCTCTGATGATGAGCGCTAGTGTCGTGGTAGCAACATGCTATGTGTTTACATCCATCGCCGCCATGTTTGTAATGACTTATCATGAGAACAAACGTATTCACATGACTTTAATAGTATTTCTTACTCAATGGAAACACTGCAGTTGCAAAACTGTGTTTTTCGACATTAACAGAATATCGACAAAGTTTTGCACACATTTGCAGTGGAAACGCAGCTTATGTTCTCTTTCCAAAAATGCATTCACATTTATTACAAAACTTTGATGCCACAGGCACTTTAAGAGTACACCATTTCATTTCTCTGTCGTTTAGTACCTTTGGTCAGTTTTTCTGGAGGTTTCCAGGTGGTTGGATGCTCTGTGGTTGGATATTTCCTGTTTTTTTTTTTAATTTTTTTATTTTGGGGGTGGGGGTGGATGTTAATAGTCTTTTCTTGGATTTTAAAGGTACTAGGGCTGTTGTGACGGCACATAGTGGGTGTTTAAGGTCATTGTCCTGTTTCCTTTTTTTGAAGTTTTTATTGATTCTCTTTTCATGTTGCAGGTGGAGCCATACCTCTGAGCCTGTTTGGGTAACTTATTGGAGTAGGGTGGTTTCCCTGTTCTTCTATATGTGGGCGGTAAGTAAGGGTTCAATCTAAGGAGGTGCCTTAGGAAGATCCTCATGTTCAACGTGTCTCCTATGATGGATTTATGTTCTTTTAATCTTGTCTCTTCCTTTCTCTGTCCTCCTTTTCTGCTTTATTCAAAGCTGATCAGTCATCACACGGTCTCAGAAAAAATAAAGTCTCCACTCCGACAGTCACTCTGATTTTGGCAGACCGATTCTTTCCAGCACAGCATCTTTTGCTACTTTCATCTGTAAGTTTTGGGCCATTTTAATATTTTTATAAATGTCTGCTTTCAGGTGCAACAGCCGAATTCTGGAAATCTACACTAAAGTTAAAAAGTGACTTCAATTAAAACTTGAATTTCTTCTACAATAGGCCGATACTTTGATCCCAACCTTTTTATTCCTGTCGGTTCATAAAGGGCATATCAAACTGCTTCCTGTGTTGCCATTTTAAACTCCTTCAGAACATTATTTGCAAGTATAATGGACTGAAATTGACAGGCCTCCAACTCTATAAAGACTTCCATTTACAACGTGTAATCATTCTTGGAAAGACTTGAGGCAATCTTGCACTGAGTAGAAGTTATTAGCAGAAAATCTGTTGCTGGAAATGACATTATTATGGAGTTAAAGGCCTTCTGCACTGTTTTAAACTTGGACTTTCAGCCTGTGCATATTTTTTGTTCTGCCTTCAAACTCCTGTCAAGTCCCAGTTATCAGGAAGAGTTGACGTAATGAGATGCATCTTTATTTATGAGGAGTTTTGGGGATTTGTCTTGGTGTTAAACAGAGACTTGTTATCAGAAAGAGCGGGCTCCCTGTATTATTATTGGATCCTAACATTTAATGGACATAAATCTCTTCTTGTTTGTTTATTTGTTTGTTTTCCGTGCCTGGTCAAGGTGAAAAAAGTTATTTTCTCAAGGGTTTTATTTGCAAAAAAAAAAAAACGTCACTCCCAGAAGGATGCCTAAGCCAGGCTTTTTATTATTTCTTCTTCTGTCTTTTATGTCCTCATAAAATCTGTCCCTAAAAGAAACACGCACCGCCGTAGGTTTCAAAATGACCTCATTACAAGTTGTAAATTGCTTTTCATGAATACTAATATTTCTCTCCCTCCTTTGCTGTGCATGTTTCAATTAGAACAAGTTGCGTACGTTTCTTTCCCCCCGAGCAGAGAACAGATATTATTACTCGTCATTAACCTCAGGCAGAGAAGAGCTGGCTCCTGGGTGCCGCTCAGACCCGAGGTTAAACATCCATCTGGTGGTCAGCTCTGATTGGAGCGTTCACACCTGACATCACAAAAACATGGTCTTTTGACTCGAACCTGGTTCAGAGCCATCTGAATCGCATTTTTGTTGAGTTTTTCCCCCAATAAGCTTAATTAGCTAACGATGTCAAAGCAAAGCGCAGTGAGGATTTAAACCCCTAAAACTCCACCACAGTAAAACTTCTTCTCTTTTATTATTTGAACAGTTCCTCTGTGAACATGAGATCTCTGATGTGTTTAATTAGGTGAATAAAGCGACTAAAGCTGCTCAGACTGTTGTCACGTTATAAATCAGGGCTTTTCAACTGGCAGCCCGTGGGCCACATCCAGCCCGCAGGTGGCTTCCATCTGGACCGCTAATTAAAAGAAACGTTTTGTTTTGGTGGGAGGGTTATTTAGTTTAGTTTAATTCGTTTATTCATTTCATTTAAAAATAAAACAAAAAAATTATACACAGTAAAGAGAAAAAAATCACACCTGAAATGAAAGGAGGCAGAACGAAGAAAAAATCTTATATCTGCCCCTTTTTTCCAAAATTCATTTCAAACAATAA